TTTTCCCGAACCCGCTGCACTCCCAACCGCTCTCCCCTCGTTGCTCCCGCGCTCTGCCGCTTTCCGGCGAGCTCCGGCTGCACGCCGCCGTCGCTGTAGCCGCCGCCGCGCCGCACCGCTTGCACCGTCGGCTCCGCTGCTCTTTGCCACACCCCGGCCACCGCTCCGTTTCCACAAAACTCCGCCGAAACACCACATCCACCGTGCACCCGAGCCACAGCTGCCTCTCGTCACCTCCAGTCGCGCGCCACCACCGCTCCCGTCGCTGCCGCGCTGCGCTACCACCGCCATCGGCATCGCCGTTCCTCGCCGCACCCCGGCCCCTACTCCGTTTCCCCTCCCTGCCCCTGGAACGCCGCCGCCGCGTTCACCATCTCTCTCCGCCGCCACCGTCGAGTCCAGCCGCGTCGCGCCGCCTCTCCGGTCGACGCCGACTTGTGCCGCCACCTCCTTCGGCTTCGTCATCTCGAGGGCCCCGCCGGCCCTCGGCCGCGTCTCCGCCATGGTCGGGTGTCGCCGGAACGCCGTTCCCGCCGCCTCTCGTGCCAGTCGCCGCCATCCTTTCCGCCGCCAGCCGCCTCCCTGTGGTCGTCTCGCCGTCGCCGTCCTCGGTGAGAATCCCCACCGTCCCTTCTCCTTTTTTTTTCCCTCCTCCGCCGCTCCCCGTGCCCGCTGCCGCGACGCGCCGCTGTCGCCGGCGGTCGTCTGGCCGCACGCCGCCGCGCGCTATCGCTCGACCAGGCCGGCTGTGCCGTGCCCGTGCCCCAGCCGCGCCGCCTCGTGGCCGTCCGATCGGCTTTGGGCCGATCCGAGCCGTCGGTTCCCGTGGACCGGCGGTGGACCGCCTCGGTGGTTCCGATCCACGGTGGACCGGCGCCCTTGTGCCGCTGACCGGTGGGCCCGCTTGCCGGCGCCGCCCCTCCCCCTTGATGACGTCAGCGAGGTCCATTTCCTTTGTAAAAATAAATAATAATTGCGCAATAAATCGAGTTTAATTATAGAAATTCATTTAAATGGCTCAAAACTTCTAAAATTCATATCTAATTCATTCGGACTCCGAATTGAGCCATTCAACTTGCAAAATTCATCTAAAATTGAGCTCTACATGTTTGTTTAGTTTTTATGTACTGTTTCCTTGGTTTTTATTAGAGTTTTTCCTCGTTTTGCGTGCCAGCGTGTAGTTTCCGTCGTTTCGGAAGTCCGCGGTCGCGAGGAAAAGAGTTCGGAAGATCAAAGTGAAGAAGCAAGGCAAGTCACACATTCTCCTTGAGCATGTTGATCCCAATTTATAAATGTTTTACCGTTTACAAATAAATATGCATGTTTTGCTAATTACACGGGGTCAGGGTTTACCTATCTGCTCGCTTGTGCCATGTTTACTTGATATCTGTTCTTTGTCAACCTTGGGTAATAAATTGACTAGCTCGTGTTACTTATGTGACCTAGCTAGAACTATATGCTTAGCCATGCTTAATTACCACTAGCTCAGTCGATGGGATAATTGCAGTTTTAGACATTCTAGTATCTTGTTGAGCCGCGTGCTCGAGACATCTGGCCATGTTTTATGGTCGTAATTATCCAACTAAAATGCGACTGAATGGTGGGCTGTGGGTGCATGGTTTTGCGAGTCGCACCCATAGCAATTAAGGACCGGTTCACGGGAAACCCTAGAAGACTTACAGCGCTTGCCACAAGCGGGAGTGGGTAACTGCTTGATCTGAAGTATAGCTCGACCCTTTCCTAGGCACCGGTGGCGAGGGTGGGCGTGATGGAGTTGGGTCGGCCGGGGTGTCCGGTTGTCCAGCTGCCGGATTCACCGCGGCGCAAGAGGGGACCGCCCACTGCCTTTTTAGGGGTGGGGGTGAAACCTTAGCGTGGTGTGGATGGTTAGGGGAGGGTTATGCGAAGGGTCTCGTCACAATCACTCGACGTGGTGACGTGTGCATCATGGGCACATGATGACGCGGTGACATGTCGGTGGGTTGTGTCTTGTGGGTACAGTTGTGCACCTCTGGCCAGAGTAAAACTATTCGAATAGCCGTGCCCGCGGTTATGGGCGCTCGACCAGATTCACCGTGATTAGTCTCACACTTAATAAATCGACCCAATGCACTGTAGTACAGGTGGGTTGGTTGGGCCTGTTCAACGTGGTGTAGCGTTGATCAGTGGAGATTTTAATGTTACTTTAATTACTCAACAGTTTTACTGTTTTGCTCAATAAAATGTTTTACAACCGCCTTTATGCAAATAGCCACAAACCGTCCTTGTGTTCCCCTTGCACGTCTGCATCGTTGGTGTGGCTTGCTGAGTACGGTGGTTGTACTCAGCCTTGCTATTATTCCCCCTTTTCAGAAGTGTAGTGCTTCTGAGCTGAAGATGGAGTTAGAGGACCAAGGCTCAGACCCCAGTTGAGTTTTGCCTGTGGAGTGGAGCTGAAGCCCCGCTAGGATCGCCTTTTTTCGCTGCTGCTGCTTTTGTTTCGGTGTGAGGACTAAGTGCCTCTTCTGTAAGTATTTTACGCTTTATTTACGTTTGGAACTGTTTATTACTTGTCGTTTTGTGTACCCTGGCTGGTCCTGGACAGGGATTTAATACACAAAATAGTCTGGAAATTTGGGCTAAATTTCTGGGCGTGACAATTGGTCCTGAACATATAAACGCATACATTATGAGGTAGTGTCATATTCTTGATTAGATTAAATTGGCACTTGTTATGAAACGAGACCACCTGTGGGTATTTGACATGATCAATGGTTGTATCCGTCGTAGGCGTGGTCACATCATCGGCAGACTTTGTCAATTAATACCAATACTTGCACACATGGGTGCGATGTTTTCAACCGGAACGAAAAAGTTCAAAAAGCAGCAAAACATGAGTTTTGGACATCATGGATCGGATTGGGTGCGTCCGTGTTGAAAAATTACTCCGTTACTCGCGCGGCCAATTTTTGTCAATTAATGCTGATATTGACACACGTGGGTGCGATGTTTTTAACCGGAATGAAATGTTCAAAGAGCTAGCAAATATTGGCCTATGTTGGCACACGTGGGTCCGTTGTTTTTGCCAATTAATGTAGGTATTGGCCTACGTTGGCACGCGTGGGTGCAATGGTTTTAACCTGAACAAGAAAAAACAGTTAAAAAACCAGAAAAACATGAGATTTTGACTTATTGGAATGGATTGGGTGCGTCCTTGTTAAAAATTCACTCCGTGACTCGCGTGGCAAACTTTGTCAATTCATGCCAATATTGGCACACGTGCGTGCAATGTTTTTAATCGGAACGAAAAAGTTTAGAAAGCACCAAAACATGTGTTTTGGACATAATAGAGTGGATTGGGTGCGTCTATACTGAAAAATCACTCCGTAACTCGCGCAGCGAAAGTTTGTCAATTAATGCCAATATTGGCCTACATTGGCACACGTGGGTGCGATGTTTTTAGCCGGAAAAAAAAAGTTCAAAAACCACAAAAACATGAGTTTTGGACATATTGCAGTAGATTGGGTGCGCCCTCGTCGAAAATTCACTCCGTGACTAGCGTGGTGAACTTTTGTCAATTAATGTCGATATTGGCACACGTGGGTGTGATGTTTTTAACAAGAACGAAAGATTCAAAAAGAACTAAAACATGAGTTTTGGACATATTGGAGTGTATTTGGTGCGTCCGAATCGAAAAATCACTCTGTGATTCGCGCGACGAACTTTCAATTAATGCTAATTTTGGCACACGTGGGTAGCGGAACCAAAATTTTCAAAATACACGAAAGCATGAGTTTTGGACATATTGGAATTGATTGGGTGCGTCCGTGTAGAAAAATCACTCCGTGACTCGCGCGGTGAACTTCTGTCAATTAATGCCGATATTGGTACACGTGGGTGAGATGTTTTTAACCAGAAAAAAAAAGTTCAAAAAACAGTAAAACATGAATTTTGGACTTATTGGACGTACGTCCGTGTCGAAAAATCACTCCGTGACTCATGCGGCGAACTTTTATCAATTAATGCCAATACTGCACTATATTGGCACACGTGGGTGAGATGTTTTTAACCAGAACCAAAAAGATCAAAAAGCAGCAAAATATGAGTTTTGGACATCTCGTAGTGGATTGTGTGCGTCCGTGTCAAAAAATCTCTCCATAACTCGCGCAACGAACTTTTGTCAATTAATACCGATATTGGCACAATGGCACACGTGGGTGCTATATTTTTAACCGGAACAAAAAAGTTCAAAAAGCACCAAAACATAAGTTTTGGTCAAATTGGAGTGGATTGGGTGCGTCCGTATCCAAAAATCACTCCGTGACTCACACGGCAAACTTTTGTCAATTAATATTAATACTGGACTACATTGGCACATATGGGTGAGATGTTTTTTACCGGAACGAAAAAGATCAAAAAGCAGCAAATCATGAGTTTTGGACATCTTGTAGTGGATTGGGTGCGTCCGTGTCGAAAAATCACTACGTGACTCGCGCGGCGAACTTTTTTCAACTAATGCCAATATTGGCCTATATTGGCACACGTGGGTAGCGGAACGAAAAAATTGAAAGGTACAAAAACATAAATTTTGGACATATTGGATTTGATTGGGTGCGTCCGTGTCGAAAAATCACTCCGTGACTCGCACGGCGAACTTTTGTCAATTAATGCCAATATTAGCACACGTGGTGCGATGTTTTCTCACCGGAACGAAAAGTTCAAAAATCACCAAAAACATGAGTTTTGGACATATTTAAGTGTATTGGGTGCGTCCGTGTAGAAAAATCATTCTGCGGCTCGCACGGCGAACTTTCATCGATTAATGTCAATATTGGATTATGTCTACATAACTATCTCGTAGCAAAGTGCGGGCTATCAACTAATTAAACCTTCCCTCCGGCGTCAACATCGTCACAACGTCATTCTTATTCGTGCCAAATTTAGGTGGCTTTCCCAGTTTATCCGCATGTCCACAAATTAATCCCTCATGCTCTTGGCATTTACCCACCAGACGATCACATCACCCGCTCCATTTGCAACGGAGCTCCTTACTCTACCTCGACTTGCAACCGACCAATGGTCGCCGTTTGTTGGGACATCCATACCCATGCATTCTGGATACGCTCTTCTCTCCTCCGTCTTGCTCGTCCTCCTGGCGCTCTCCATCATCACACTAGTGCCACGCATGCCATCACCGCAGTCGTTCTTCCGATCTCCACCGCCTCGCCTGATCAACAGTAGGGTTCCTCATCCATCCGATGCCAGCGATTGTATTTTCTCCGACGGTAAATGGGTGAGGGACGCCGCGGCCGTGACTGCTTACCGGGAGGACTGCCCGTTTCTTGACCCTGGTTTCCAGTGCATCAGCAACGGCCGGAGCAACTCGTCTTTCCGCTACTGGCGATGGCAGCCTCATGGCTGCCAGCTCCCGAAGTAGGTAGCCATCGCCAATGACATCTTTGATAAATTAGTAATTTCTTTTCTGTGGTTTTTCATGATGTGGACATTTTTCAGTTACTTGCATTGCCACTCATTCTTCAATTCCAAATGATTTGAGGTGTTTAGGTTCAATGCAACTGATATGCTGGAGAGGAGCCGGAACGGCAGAATCGTGTTCGCCGGCGACTCGATCGGCCGTAACCAGTGGGAGTCCATGGTGTGCATGCTCGCCGCCTCCGTGCCAGCGGGGAAGTCAAGAATATATGAGCAGTCCGGGAAACCCATTAGCAGGCACAAAGGGTACCTCGCCATGGTCTTCGCAGACTACAACCTCTCCGTCGAGTACTACCGCGCCCCAATGCTTGTCATGATCGACCGCTTCCCGGCAAGCAGCGGTGCCGTCAGGGGAGCGGTCCGGCTGGACATGCTGCCTCGGCACGCCAACCGTTGGGCTGGCGCCGACGTGCTCGTGTTCAATACAGGGCATTGGTGGAATGAGCACAAGACTATCAAATCGTAATTTGAGCCGTAGTTAATTAATTAATTATTTTGTTTCTATGCATACTATGTTGTTTCATTTATTATAACTGATCCCTAAGTCTCAAACTACTGCCACATACATGTTTTCAGGGGAAACTATTTCATGGTTGGTGATCGGCTGAACATGAGCATGGACATGAAGGAAGCATTCCGATGGTCCCTGGAGACAGTGAAAGATTGGGAGATAAGTAGTACACGGGTTCCAAATAGTTATTTTTTCTTCAGGAGTTATTCTCCTTCTCATTATAGGTAAGAATTGTTAGTGAACGATACACACAGTTCACCTCTTTGGTGAATTTTAACAAGACAAAACATAATCCTTCATACAATTTGACCATTCGTTTTATTCATTTTTTTTGCAAAATAAAAAAGAATATAAGCCATGCTTAAAAAAATATTTGACGATAAACCAAGTCACGGGTAAAAACGAAAAAATAAAAGACAATACATATTTTTTTAATAAAATGAATACAATACATATTTTTTTAATAAAATGAATGGTTAGAACGTATTTAAAAAGTCAACATTGTCATGCATTAAAAAAATGGAGATAGTACGTTCCAACGTAGATATATAATGCTTTTAAAATGGATTAAAATGGAGTAGTGGTGGTGATGAGTGGTGAATCTACCACCATCCCCATCACTAACTCCCTACTTTTTGAGTAATTTTATAGTACATTCTACTTGAAGTATATATTTGCTGCAGTATATGGAAGGGTAGGTTCGATATTTGTTAAAAAATATGAAAAGTGTTGTTTAGTATTTTGAAATTGAAGTTTATTTTCATCCGGATTGATTTTCCAGTTGTAGTATTTTTTCTGTATCTCGTCATCCATTCGTGATATAGCGCTTCTTCAGAATTTATCGCGTGTCCCCGGCGTCCTTGACTCCCGACGCACTTGCCTCCAGCCCCGGCGCCTCTATCCCGATTCCTTCATGACAAAAAAAAAAGTTATGTCCAGATTTCACCCGATATGTCTGGACCAGGAAACAACTAAATAACACGTGATTTTCAGATGGAGCTAATATAAATTAAATAACTATTATTTTAGGAAAAAAAGTTACCTCCGGATTTCATCCGGTATGTCCGGACATGGACAACAATGAAAAAACACGTGGTTTTCGGGCGTGCTAGCATAAATTAAATAACTATTATTTTAGGGGAAAAAGTTACTACCGGATTTCATCTGATCTGTCCAGACCAGGAAGACAACTAAATAACACGTTGTTTTGTGGTCATGCTAACATAAATTAAATAACTATTATTTTAGAACAAAAATATTTACATCCGGATTTCATCCGGCCTATCCGGACCGGGATGACAACTAAATAACGCATGGTTTTCCGGTCATGCTAACATAAGTTAAATAAATAATATTTTAGGCAAAAAAAAGTTATGTCCGGATTTCATCCGGTATGTCCGGACTGGGACGACCAAAAAAAAAACATGTGCTTTTTCGGTCATGCTAGCATAAATTAAATAACTATTATTTTAGGAAAAAAGTTATGTCCAGATTTAATGTGATCTGTCCGGACCAAGATAACAAACATAAATTAGATAAATATTAGTTTAGGAAAAAAAATTCCGTCCGGATTTCATCTGGTCTATCCATACTGGGATGATAACTAAATAACACGTGGTTTTCCGGTCATGCTAACATAAATTAAATATCTATTATTTAGGAAAAAAAGTTACATTCATTTGGTCTGTCGGGACCAAGACGACAACTAAATAACACGTGGTTTCCGGTCGTACTAACATAAATTAAATAACTATTATTTTATAAAAATAAGTTAGGTCCGGATTTCTTCCGGTATCCCAGACCGGGATGACAACTAAATAACATGTGGTTTTATGGTCATGCTAACATAAATTAAGTAACACCTATTTTAGAAAAAAAAAGGTTACATCCATATTTTATCCGGTATGTCCGGATCAGGATAACATGTGGTTTTTCAGTCGTGCTAACATAAATTTAATAACAATTATTTTAGAAAAAAAAGTTACTTCCGGATTTCATCCAGTCTGTCTGGAGTAGGATAACCGAAAAAACACATGGTTTTCTGATCATGCTAATATAAATTAAATAACTATTATTTTAGAAAAAAAAAGTTATATCCGGATTTCATCCGGTCGGTCCAAACCGGTATGCAACGAAATAACACGTGGTTTTTTTAGTCATGCTAATAATATAAAGAGGCAATTGTGCTTCAGTCCTTGATTTACAATTCAATTGTGATTTTACTCTTACTTTTTAGGGTTTGTGATTTTGCCCCTGTTTTTCTGAAATGAGTCTGCCCCTGGTTTTGACATAAGTTTGGTGGCCTGAAATTTCCAAATTAAACGAATAAAGAAAATGTTATTATTATTTGTGAATGACCATTCTACCCTTGGTTCAATGAGCAAAATCCCGAATTCCTTTACTGTCCGGGTTGCAAGCGCTGGGTTGCAAGTGGTGGCGGCGGCGACGCGCGGCCAGCGCGCGGCAGGGAGGAGAAGCGGTGCGGGCCAGCACGCGGCAGAGTCGGGCGCGGGCAGGGAGGTACGGCAGCGGCTAGGGCTGTCAACGAGCCGAGCTTGAGCGAGCTTGCCTGTCTAGGCTCGAGCTCGAGCCGAGCCTATAAAATGTTCGAACTTTCAAACAGGCTCGGTTCGAGCTCGATCAAGCTCGAGCTCAACTACTGAGCTCGGTTTTTAATTAGAACATTGTATATTTCAAAGGATAATTTTTAAAAAATATTTAATTTATGGTTTATCATATTAGTATAAGAAGAAAAAAAATAAAATAAACATATAATGCCAATACAAGGCATACAAATAACATATTTGATCTACCAATTTATTAAATAGCAACGAAAAATTATATATTACTAGGCCCGTTAGAAGCTCGAGCTCGGCGAGCTTTGGGACAAGCTCGGGCTCGGCTCGTTTGGAGCTCGAGCCGAGCTCGAATCAAGCCTAGGACGAGTCGAGCTCAAGTAGCTCACGAGTCTCGAGCTTTCTTTTTTTACAGCCCTAGCGGCGGCGGCGTCGTGGCTGGCGCGCGCAGGGAGGTGCGGCGCTCCCGCGGCTGCATGCGCAGGGACGGCCTTTGGAGGCGCCGCGACGAGGATGACGGCGAGGAAGAGGACATTGCCGTCGACGAGAGGGACTCGCTCGGGCTGCCGTTGCCGGTGGTGAGCAACTGCTCATCGTCGGAGTGTGAGTACATGGCCGAGTCAGAGGCTGAGCTGGCGAAGACCGAGGAGGAGAAGTGCGCGTCGGCGTCGTCAGCGTCGGAGTACGAAAAGACGTCGCAGTCGAGCACGAGGAGCGTCGCATTCCATGGTGCTGCCGACGCCGGAGGAGACGGGCATAAGCTGAGTGTTAGTGCTGCTTCTATTATTGTGCGTTTAGTTAGTTGGGATTTGGGATGCCATAAATACAATGGTGATCGATCACGATGCCCATGCACGCTGTGGGCCAAAATCATCCATGCAACTGTTCGTTTATCAAGACTAAATCTCTATAACGAGCAAAAAGTGCAAATATCTGTCACTTTTTACCTCCTTTTTTCTAATCATTAGACATTAGTGTTCGTTTTGCTCTAGAAATTATCATTGAATGCCAAAACATGTCAGGGGTATATTTGTCCATTCACCACAAATTTAACACCGCTACCATTAATTAACAAAGTAGGGGCAGGCGGCTACTTCATTTCAAAAAAGCAGGGGCAAAATCACAAACCCTAAAAAGTAGGGATAAAATCACAATTGAATAGTAAAGCAAGGATAGAAACACATTTGGCCCTAATATAAATTAGCTATTATTTTAGAAAAAAAGTTACGTCCAAATTTTACGTGGTCTATTCGTACTAGGATGACAACTAAATAACACGTGATTTTTCGATCGTGCTAACATAAATTTAATAACTATTATTTTTGAAAAAAAAAAGTTAATTCTGGATTTCATCCGGTCTATATGGACCGGGACGATAACTAAATAACACTTGGTTTTAAGGTCGTAACAAATTCCCTTTTTAATCGATATATGTACGTGCCCGATCCATTTTTTTGTTCTCTCCATTTGCTGCTTGCTGCCTGCCGGTTGCTCTTTGCTTGCTGCTGCCCTGCCTCCTACTGCCTGTCATTCCCTGTCTGCGCTCCTTGCCCCTGACTGCTTCCGTCGCCCGGATGCCCTGCAATGCTGCTGCCGCTTCCTGCACTGCTGCTGCCGCGCCTGTAGCAGTTGCGCCCGGGTGCCCTGAAGCCACGACCCTTGACTGCTCCGCATCCCCTTGCCGCTGCGCGCCTCTGGCCGAGCCACCAGTGGCCGGCGCCCTTCTGCGGCTCCGCCCCTTCCCACGCACAGAGACGTCAATCGTGGAGTTGGGGAATTTCCAAAGACCTAGGTTTTGGGTGCGCGGGAAGGGCAGATGGAGGAAAGGAGGTCGGAAAATCGAATCAAATCACATTCGCGGTGGCTATCAGCGGCGGCGGTAGCGCATGGGACGAAGGAAAGCGAACGGAATTCTCTCGGGCCGGATCTGACCGAATAAGAGAACGCGAAAATACAAAAAATACTCCATGCAAAAAGATAGAAAGACAAATTTACCCTTTTCAATTTATACTGTAAACTAATCTAAAGGAAGGTCGGATGAATCGACACCGTTACATCATTTACTAATCTAAAAGGAAGATCGGATGAATCTACACCGTTAGATCGTTTAAACTACAAGTATATACTTTGCATGTACCGTAAAAATCCTCTACATTTTTAAGGTCAAAAAGGGTGCCATACATGTCAACTACCCCACCATCAATTCTCTACTTTTTTGGAAGAAAATATGACAGTATAAATGTGAATACCAAATACATACATAAATTAAAGGGGTGATATATACATTAATGAAGGTAATAATGCTTTAATGCTAATTTTCTTTACTTAAAATCACATTGCAACGCACGAGCTAGTTAATTAATATATGCATATATTTCTCTCTCTCCATATTATACTGTACAATGTTTTTCCATTCTCTATATTAATTAAAAATGCATACAATTTCAAGTTTATATATAGTTCCGTACAGAGAACTTTACAGTTTAAACTAGTATTAAAATGAAGGTCAAAAAATGACAGCAATGGCACGTGGAACACGGGTGGCTCGTGTGCTGACCATCGAGATCCAGTGACCAGCAGTGACCAATTCGACGAGGAGTACTCTTGGATCAACGCCATGATCTCGAACGCCATCGACGGCATCAGAAGCCACGGTCGAAGGAAAGCCCATTTCTTGAACATAACGTACATGACCGAACTGAGGAGGGATGGCCACCCGTCGCGGAACCGGGAGCCTGGGACGCCGCAGGACGCGCCCGAGGACTGCAGCCACTGGTGTCTGCCGGGCGTGCCCGACACATGGAATGAGGTCCTGTATGCACACCTCATGTCAATGGGATATGATATCAGGATACACTAGTACAAAACCCTCGCAGGGACCGGCTGTATATGTGCTATGTGCCTTTTTCCACCTCCACATGATAAAAAAAATATAAAACTAGCATATTTAAACACTATAGTTGTCGGCTCTTAAAAAAACTGGTAGTAATATTGGGTATAATTTTATGCTTTCTAAATGTTTCTTGAAACTAAATGATTTGAAATGATGATGAGATTGGTATATGTGATATGATTGCCTTACTTCCCCTTATGTTGTAAGGGAATGATGTCTATCTATTTATGTTGATATCATGCCATGATTAATATGCTTTATATATTGCTTAAATGATTTGCTTAAATTACGTTGCAAATAGTTTGTGAACTAAAATTTGCTTTATGCTGAAAATTGAGACTACAAATAGCCTTCCATTGACTTAGAGCTTTCATGTATGTAAGTTTGATGGTGCTCTTGCCAGTACATTAATTTGATTAATGTACTGAGTCTTGCCATGTGTTGTTTTATGTTTTGCAGGATTAGACTTAGTTTAATTTGAGTGATGCGGTTTTCGACTGCTTCTTATAGGATTTGAACTTAATGGGGGTAAACCCCTAGTCGGTGTGCTTAAGGATTGGGTAGTCAAGCTTCCGTTGTTCTCTTATATATTTATTTGGCCGGTCGGCCTATGTAACTATTAAGTTGATGTAAGTCTCTTAGTCCCTTTCGTCTTAAATGTGTTTGCTATATATGTCCATGCTTAAGATGAAAGTGTGAATCTAGTGCACATCTTGGGAATTAGATTCACATGAGTTAAGAATATTTGAGATGTTGTAGATCTTTAGCCATTTTGTCAAGTCTCCTGATTGTGTAACACATCTGGTCGCCGCTTTCGAGTGGTTTGACGGGCATATCTCACGCCGAAGTTGACTGGCAGGCTAAAGGCCCAGCAATGTCTTCAATATTCTTCTCTCGATGTGTCGGATATTTCATTATGTTTGTTTGATGACTTGAGTTATTCACTTCATCTCTTAAATATAATGGGAGGTCCGGAGAGCCTACGAAAACTGCCGCCGCAGCTAAGCCGCTGCCGAGCCAAGTCGAGCCGAGCCGCCGCTTTAACCCGTTGCTCGATAGCTGAGTTGCCTAGCCATAGATGCAAACCTAGGTTCCTACTGGCCTACCGTTTGTCGTACCGGGGCTTTACCGTGAATCGTGTCTAGCCCACCAGTTTAGCCTCAGCCGTTGTTGAGTCGTTCGCTCGTTTATTCGAACGAGGTGTCCCCGTGTTTCGTTCGTCCGTCCGTGTTGAGTCGTCCTTTAGTTTAGAGCCGTTCAAAGCCACAGGTTCCGTTTGCCTATTTCGGTTGACCATTTGGGTGATCCCGTGTCACGTAGAATTGACTCGTTGAGTCGGTATCTCATGAGGCTTGCTTGCCAGTAAAGTGTTAAGAATCCATTAAAATTGGTTTCTTTTGCTGTTTCAGTAGCTCTTTAGCTTGTATTTATTGTGTGCCTTGTTTGTCGCTTAGACTCTGGCAGTTCCGACGCTCCAATTTATTTTGAAGTGGTTGAAGAGGTTCTATCAGCTCAAGGGCAAGGCAAGTCATACAGATATCATTGATCATATTGAGCCTATCTGCAAAACCCCTGCTTTTCTCTTAAAATTGCATTATTTTATAATGTCATGTGGGAAGGAATTTACCCGTACTCAGCCTTATGCTTACCCTGATTCATTGATAGCCTGGGATAATAATTTGATTGTAGGTTGGGCTCCGTGTGCTGTGGTTGTTGCTTGAACAAAACACTCGGCTGACCGTGAGCCGATGTTGACGCACCCAGCTTCCCAAAAGCCGTTGTAACTATAGGCTGTTGCTCTGGGGTTATTCCAGATGCAGGTTGATGCTTACCACCATTATTAGTGCTGATGGTCCTATATTGTGGAAAAACACCCTCAGGAAGGAAAATCGATCCCTTAGCTTGATACTCACTTGATCATATTAGACAAGCACTCCTGATTGGTTGATCAAAGCATGATAAACAGCATAGTCAATCCGATCTTGCATATTATTGAGCCCTTTAGGATCTCCTTATGGTTTCTCATTTTTAGGCTTGGCATCTTTAGGAGAACTCGTTTCTGGGTCGTCATCAGATAGCATCGCTATCTTATACCTCTGAATTACTGTCCCTGATCTAGTTAACACAAATGAGTGCAAAAACTTATTTTGCATTTGGTTCATCATCTGCTCGAGGTCCACCTTTTGTTCTGCTGTCAACTTGTCTAGCGTTATCGGGACGATGTTGTCCGGGTCAACATTAGTTGACTTGATATCCACCATGATGAAGATATGTCGAAGTCGGTCCCACTGAGCATGCCAAAAGCATGTTGATGCGAAAAACACACACTGGTCTGAGAGATTTGCTTTACTCTAGTGCAGGTCCTAAATTTTGCTTTTGGGTTCAAGGCGTGCCAGTTGGTTTGATCCTGCAACCAACAAGAAACAAAGGAGCCAAAGTTAGATCCATAAACGATAGCCGATCGGCTGGATTGCTGATGACGTATCGTTCATATCAGGCTGATGCGATATGGATCAGATTGGCAGTGAAGTATATGGCAAAGAAAAGATTAAACCTACGCTATTGCCCGTATATATCAGTAATATATGAGATAATCCAAGAAATGCCATTGACAAGCGTCTAAGTCCCAAAAGTGCCATCGACAAGTATGAGTTCCAAGAAATGCCATCGTACAAACGATTTTGTCCCAAAAATGCCATCACAGTTAGGGTTCCGTCCATTTTGCGCCGTTAAATACATTGTTCATCCTATAATTAACGGCGCGGAATGGACGGAACCCTAATGGCGATGGCATTTTTGGGACAAAGTTGTTTGTATGATGGCATTTCTTGGAACTCACACTTATCAATGGCATTTCTGGGATTTGGATGCTTGTCAATGGCATTTCTTTGATTATCTTATAATATATAATGTAGGCTTCGAAATACGCTTAAACCTAGTGATTCGGATAGATCGGACAACATGCCGAGATAGTATAAACCACTTATATCTAAAGGTACTTTGAAGCAAAGATTATATATATTCCTAGCAAGGCCTTAGGCAAATCTAACATGTATTGGCTACTGTTCTGATACTAATTTATACTAAGATACCAGTTTAGATTAAAAGCAAAATTTGCTACAGGACATAAAAAACGTGTAATTAGCTGGGAGACACCGCAAGAACGGAAATATGCTATAGGGCATCGCAAAATATTGGTAATTAGCTGCTGGACACCCGCGGGATTATTTTATTATATCCGGAGAAATTGGAGAGAGAAAAAACTGTGTAAGTACGGTTCTACCCTTCGAATTTTTTTCTTTTTTTTCTCTATCCTTCTCTGTTCCTTCTTTTCCTTGTTCTTTTCTCTCTCATTCTCTCTCTGCTCTTTTCTTCAAGCAAGCCCGAGGGAGAGGGAGAGCATCAGCTACAGCGCGGCGAGGCGCGGGCCTGGTGCGGCACCTCGGCTGGGACGGCACTGCGCTGTCACGCACAGGGCTACCACGGTATGCACATGCACGCTGCCTCCAAACCTAGCTCAAGCATCAGTAGCAGCGGGCCAACGACAGCAGTAGCACGGTGGGTTAGTGGGTGTCGCTTTCAGCACCTCCATGTTCTCACTTGACATGGCCACACCCATCTGCTCCCTGCCACGCCAGCACCACGCGACCGACCTCGCTTGGGCGCCCATCCTCATCGCCGCTCCGCCCGCGGGACTTCACCCTCGTCCACCACGTCGGCGTCGGGGACATCGCTTGAAGGAGAATGCGTCGGCTCGTCGTCCTCGTGCGAGTACGCCATGAAGGTGGTGGACTGCCGTGCGCTCTCCAAGAAGGGCAAGCTGGGCCACGCCGTCGCGGAGAAGCGCGTTCTTGTAAGTTCAAGTGCCTTAATTTGGTTTGGTGATTAATGACAAATCTAATAATATGAGACTAACGTTTTTATGAGCTTTTCTTTGACTAGTCTCGTTTCGATATGAAAATAAAAATGATGAGAGTTGTCAACTAGGTTATTTCCCGATGATGAGATGTGGTAGATATGCATTCTTTGGTGATGGACCTTAATCATGATAAGGATAAAATGCATGGAGATAAAACGTTATGTACCACTTCTTATCTCCTACTTTTTGATAGGTTCATATATATGATTTCCATGTTATTGTTATATAAGTGTGAGACTAACGTTTACTCGAGTCGTATCTTATTTAGTCTCATTTACATTAAGAACATGGAGATCATGAATGTATGTGTTTTATGTTGGTCTACATCATTACTACATATGCTTTCTCTATGTGTACAGGATAAACCCCCATTGGTCATTCTCTAATTATGCATACACTTGCATCTCTTGTATATTTATTTGTATGCATATATTTAGGGGGAGCAAATCCTATACATTTATTGTGCATGTTGTAGATCCATGTTGTTCACCTATTATTTATATTGGATCTTTGCATTTAAGCTTGCATGTGAGTATATGTCAATTGTGGTGTTAATGAATAATGAATACTCAACAAACATATTCATATCTTTCATATGCAACTGGTTGGTCATCAAGTGCAAGATGACAACCGATTTGTTGGGACTAATGTTCTCCTTTGAGCTGTGCAAAGGAATAGGTCCCACCGTGATGAGGCTAATAGATGACACCATGGTTTGATGATCACCAAGCCAAGGACATCGCCATGTTGACAAGAATGAAGTCAAGATTGTGATGAGATGAAAGTCTTGACAAAGGATGGTCAAGACCTAGGCATAAACAAGATTCAACTGAATAGTCACATGTGTTGATCTTGGTTCAAGCATTGACCCCAAGTTGGATGGCACAAGGCAAAGGTATAATCGAGCGAAGATGTTTTCTTAGTCTTTTTCCCGGTCTTCGTGTTTGGTGTAGACCGGATTTGCTAGATAGGCGCCATACTATCAAGAGGGGTCTATGAAGCGAGCACGTGGATGATCTTGTGCCATATTAGTTCATATGAATGTAGGAGCATTTGGTGGGCTTGTCTAGCCATGTGTGATGAGTTTTCTCATGTCCTAAACAAAGAGAGAAGTGAGCAAGTCCAATAGGAGCGAGTGACATCTTGTGGGTATGTCTGGTGGATATCCTTTGGAGTGTGAGCCCTTTATCCTTGACTTAAGTTGTGTTTCTTGATGTATTTTTCATGGGTTGGATAGCTCCTTGAATAATC